CCTGGCCTACATTGAAGGGCTGACAATCAAGAAACAGCTGACAGCCCTCAAAGAATACTTCATGCATGCATACATCCAAACAGCCTTTGCCATGAGTCTGCCACAGAATGGAAATATATGCATGTCCTTGAACAGAGAAACCAAACTTGCCTGGACCCTCTGCATATGCACATTTAGTCCAGTGGTATAAATACACACAAGGGAGGGGTAGTAGCTGCCTTGGAGTCCACAGGTACAATCTGACCATGATCGATTGCAGGGTTGGCATGTGCCCATAGGAAAACCTAGGCATTTGCATAAGGTTACCTGAAACGTGGCAGTGGAGTGCAGGCAAAGGCTGCAGGGAGCACAGTAGCTAACCTCAGCATGTATTGAGTTGGACATCCATTAGATGACAACAAAGAGATAACATAAAATTCTTAACTCTTTGTGCCATCCATTGAATGTTTGCAGCCCAGATCTGGTAGTTTTAGTACTAATAATGCTGCTTCATCCTCAAGAGAATGCCTTAAGCTGCCACTGCTCCCATTCCTCTCCAGCCCCAGAACAACCAAAAATGCTAAGAAAAACACAAGTTCAAGATGGAAACACAGCTAGACAGCTAGCTGACTGGTGCTGGGCAGGCAGTACTGATCTTCACAACAAGCTCATGCTGAAATACTGAAAAACAACTAGGAAGAGGGCTTACAGAGTCATTCTACAAGCTGTCCCTTGAGTTTATGTTGTAGAGAAGTATAGATAATGTGTATAATTTTTATTTTTTTTCTGGGTACTCTGGAGAAATCTTAAAACCTACACAAATAATCTACTGTTTTCAAATTTCCCATCAGCCATTACTGGCATTTCTGCTGAGACCTGAGAGAGGCCAAAGCTGTTCCTGCAAGAGGAGTGAGTAGGCAAATGAAGCAGAATTTGCTTTATCTCCAGCTAGAAATAGCTTGTCATCTGTTCATCTATTTTCTAAGCCACTTTTCATTGATAATATTATCTCAAAGCAGAAATAAAGCAAATTAAAACCATTTATAATCCCACCAGCTGTACAGACACATTACCAGGCTAGGTCAGGTCACCCCCCTTCTGGAATATGCAAATTGTGATAAGATTCTAAGAGGCATCCTCGTACCTCCAGAACTGATTAGGAGGAATGTAAACTGGTAGGCATCATTCTTAATCATCCTTTTTTACCTACAAGAACACTTGCTTATTCCCATTGCCACTTCTGGACATTCAAATCAATGTCCATGTAGCTGAAGAGGTACCCACCCACATGAGTTTTAAAAGGTCAGTTTTGTGTTCCTGAGGTGCTCATACTATAGAGATTTATGCTATGAAAGTTCCCAGATAGGTCTAGGGCATATTTAGGAAAGGTTCTGCTATAAAAGTTCTGTAACAGATGTCATACTGTAAGAGAACAGAGGTTGTGATTCCAAGTTAAAGCTTGTGCAATACATAACGTAAACAGTAATGGGGATAAAAGTGTCTTATCTTGAAGCATGAATGTGTACACTATTTATGTAAATAGTGTGGACTTGTTTGCTTTCCTATTTATGGATCATCATCATAATGTAATATAAAATCTCCCTTGAAAAAGTAGTAGAAGACATGAATCTTTAAAGTAATTGGCAACAGAATTTAATAAACTGTAAGTTCTGCATTTGATTTCCAGTAAAACTGAGCTACTCTCCCAAATTTGTCTGAATTGTATGGAAATCATTTCTTTACTCTTCATTGCTAAATGCAAGCATTTCTTTTTCTATCTTTTAAAAAATTATTTTGATGAAATACTACATTGTCATTAAATTTGTAGGTATATTTTTTCTATTAGTCACATATATTATAAAATGGTATTTCTATTTTTTTTAAAAAAAGCTTATTATTTCCCTAAATAATCCATTTCTTTCCTTTCCTTTTAATATTGAGTACTGTTGAGACATAATATATGTCTATCTTTACCTGTAGGGATTTCTTAGGTAAAAACCAAGCATTACTTCAAGATCTGTCAGAGACAAATGAGGAGGTTTATCCATTAATGGAGATGCTAAATGCTCTGTTTTTCTTGCCAATCAGACGACTTCATAATTATGCTAAAGTTTTGCTAAAGCTTGCTACCTGTTTTGAAGTGGTAAGTTGTTCAATGTGAAAGTTTTATTAAATAGGTTATAATTTACTATTTTTTAATTCTATACTCTGCCTCATGATAGATAAAGCATGCATTTAAATATACCTTTTAAATTAAATTATTTATCTTTTACTGCATGCTTTTGCATGTGCATAAAATCCTAATTAGAAGAAAAAAGTAGTAAAACTGCGTCATTTTTAATGGTTAAATGTTACTTCTGCCTTTATAGTATTCTCTCAGAGACTAAGAAAAGTTTTCTGATGTTAGAATATTTACACAAATTCTTGGGATTTAGGTGCTTTTTTGCATGGTTCTGCATTATTTAGTTTAACCATGGTAAATAGGACAGTTAATCTGCATTAAACATATTCCTAACTATGGAATCAGCTATAAACTCAGAAAAGGCTTATTACTGAAACATTCTGGGAATTTCTTTATTGCTGTGTAAGAATTCAGTATAAGATCGTAGCATACCCATCTACTAACTCTCTTGAAATAATTCTCAGCCCCATAACAGAATGGGACATTGCATTCCAAGAGCTGGTTTGCATGCTTGCTTTGGGATGGAAGCTGTCAATGATACTGGCAGCTGTATGGCAGCTGTGCCCATAAAACTTATAATTGTTTGGTATCATAGAGTACTTCCATCAGCAAAATTAGGACTCTTAGCAAAAGTATAGAGAATCCAAGTGAGGTCAAGTCCAGTAAAAAATTCAGTTTAACAGATCGCAGTTTAGTGGACTTTGATAAAGCAGACAAATTCTTATTCAAATAAATTCTGAATGAATGTACCTATTATTTGGGAAAGGGTCCAAACAGTGGTTGCTGCTTCCTCTAAAAAGTGGGTAAGCTTCTTCACATGCTTTGTGTTGAATTCTGGGTGAGGTAGGGATGGCACTAGGACAATTGAATGGCCATTGGGATATGTGCACTCTTCATGTTTGAGTTCCTCGTAAGGGGAAGGGACAGGAAAACAAGGCACCAGGAAGATGAAGGCGAAAGGAAGATGTTGTGAAGATCGATTATGTTAGGTCTCCCCAATAGGTTACTGAGCCTTCCCTGCCTCTGATTAAGGAAAACTCAGGAGAAGGTTTAAAGTAAAAAGGAAAACAGCTCTTTATTTGGCCAAACAAAGCAACCGGGTGGACCACTCCTCAGAGACAACAGGTCTCA